AAAAAAACATGAAACGATTCTCTTGCGGACGTATCGATGCATCGGATCGTCGGCGGTTGGATCGATGCATCGATACAAAACGATTATTATTCACACCCCTAGTCCTCGCCAAGTATGTTCTTGAGAAGAACACAGGAAAGATACGGGAGCATGCAGCATAAATGTGGGTCAGTTGGAACAGAAGAGTACTTGTGACGTCACCACACGCCCGGCTCGTCTGGAGCTGCATTTCACCTTCTGGTATTAATTGTCTATGGATAATAATAACTTCTTACTTTTTTCATTAAGTGGGGAGATAATCAATAACAAAGTCAGATAAACACAAACCAAATGAAAATATTGTCAAATAAAAAATATAAAAAATCCTATGCCGAGAGAGTTAATGCTGATTAATGTACACTGTCCCTGTCAAATAAATAAATAAAAATAAATGAAAAAAATTAGTGAACATGATGCATAAAGAATCATAGAATTAATCCATAATTGAAAGAAGAGAGACCCAGAATCTTCAACATTTCAGAGAACGTGTCACAGCAGCACCGTTGGATGAATTCTCGGTTGAGCTGGCGGTCCTTTAAGGTGGACCTGCAGTGATGCAACATGACCCAGAATGCTTTGCTCTCACCTTGAGGCTGCCCCAGCGGCTGCTGCTGTTCCGCCTCCTGAATAAACAGGTCAAACATCTGCGTCTGGATGAACTTCTTGACAAAGTGTCGGGTGGTCTTGGACTCGATGGCCTTGTAGAAGCGTCTCTTCTCAAACTCACCGGGGCCTTCTTTTGAGTATTTGACATAGGAGGCGTAATGGCCAACGGTTCGAACAAAAAAATGGAGGAAGGCTTCCGACACCACGCGGTTCACTTCCTCCACCTTCTTAACCTCCTCCAAATCTGAAGCAGAAGCAGAGAAAGGGTTAAAAAGATCCTCCGAGCTGCCGTACCTGTTTGACTTGAGTTGACTCACTTGAAACTTTTTTTCTCTGACCAATAGCATCCAGTATTTCTGCCTGAAGCTTTGGGGGAAGAATTGAATCCTCGTCACCAATCTGCACAGAAGGTTTTACATCGTTCAGGAAATTAGAGCTTTACCTTTAATTTCGAAATGAAAAAACAACATTGGAGCAGAGATGGTGCGGTTACTACGACACTTACAGTCACCAGGAAAGTCTTCTCCTTGTTCTTCGATAAGTCAACCACCAGTAACTGTTCAGCACAAAGTAAAGGTCACAATGAAATGTTGGGCTGTTATAAGATACATGAACCATTCATTAAAACAGCACAGATGAACAAAACAGAACAGGCAGATTCTTTTTATAAATGTAAAAAACTTTTGAAGCATTACATTTTTTTATGTAACAAATAAGAAAAATGATAAATTAAGTTTAACAAAAACTTGCTTGAACAGCTTCACTTTTCAAGCAACATCAAAAACGAATCAATGACATTTGGTTCTGATGTAGCTAAAAATATCTTTAAATTTGCTAATAAATACAACGATGTTTGATAAAAATCCTTCAAGCTTTCAAAAAAGTAGTGCGAAATTACTTGTGCAAAAGAATTTGCACATGCCTTTAGTAGTGAGCTGCAGATGATGTATGACTGTGTGTCATACATCACCAGATGGCCCCTCCCACTGAGCCTGGTTCTGCTGGAGGTTTCTTCCTGTTAAAAGGGAGTTTTTCCTCTCCACTGTCACTACAAGCATGCTTAGTGTGACAGATTGCCTTCAAGTAAATGAGTCGATGCAATTAGTTGGTTTTCCTGAGATAGAAAACTTTGAACTAGATAGAAATAGAAATAAATTTGACTGTATGATCTGGTTGAATTGTAAAGAGCATATCCAGCCAGTCACAGTCAGAGAAACAGGACTACACTTAAAAACAGGCCAATTTCGAACACCTATAAACAAAGGTGTTGGTAGCAGCACGGCTCATCTCCAAGACGAGCTCCGAACTCGACAACCTTCGCCTGATTCAAAAGAATCTCCAAAAATAATCAAATATACCAAAACCTGACAGTGCTCATAAGGCCTGGGCAATGAATTGCCTTTGCAACATACTCTCAATTTAACCAAACACAATTTTTAAATCGCAGAGCCACTGATTTTTAATCACACTATATTTCAAAAGAGTAAGACACTAAATTCTCATTCATAAATATACCCAATAAATTGAGCGCAAAGATGAATGAGAATTGCTGAAAATTTTTTCTCATGTCTTTGAGAAGCAATTTGTGATTTTGTCTGTGAAAGGTACTATGTTAGTAAAGTTTGTTTTATTATTAAAAAAACTGAAGACTAATTATTGCAAAAGGGGTGTCAAAGTATTCATCAATGGCCGTGCATAGTTACAGGAATGTGATCTTTCTAGGTTTGTGTTCTTAAAAAATGCTTTACACCTTTTTTATAAAGGAGTCTTTATTGTGTATAGAACTTTTAGGAAAGAGATTCATTTACTGTGATTTGAAATAAGGTTGAAATATAACTAAACGTGGATAAAGTGCCACATTGTGAATATTTTCAGGTTGCACTGGAAAGATCACTGACAACATTCCTTCAGTAAGATAAAGAGTGTTGCATTAAAGATTTAGGATCCAGGGATCTCTGTCCATTAAAATTAATTACAGATTAAAGTTTACCATATCTGGTGTGGTCCGGTTAAGTTGTGCCTGCCATTTACAATCAACAATTATCTCTGTTGCCGTGCTCGGACTGATCTCTGCAACATTTCAAGAGGGTAGCGTAAACAGGGTTATAGACTAGGAATTCAGACCAAGTTACCTCAGTTCCATTTTACCTGAACTACTGTACAACTAAATGATTAAACATTTAAACAGGAAGGATTAAAAGTCTCCCTTCAGCCCTTTAGCTGGCGATTAAACGCTTCATGTGGGTTTGTCCACAAAGACAGGTAGATAGATTTGCAGCTAGCAACAGATTCATGCATGCAAGTAAGTGTAAAGACTTTTTCACACAGTGGTTACAGTAAAGTCCTGTATCAATGCATTCTGGGTATGCAAGCTTTCAACAACTGAAAGCCTGGGCTGAAACATCTACAAGATGGGGTTAGAGCAAAGGAAAAGCAAAATATTTTATTATTCTTAGCAAAATTGTTTAGCGCTAGCGCTAAGAAAGGAACAGTGAAAAGGAAAAAGATTTAAAAAAATACTTTTTTCATATTCTTCTTCCTCTAACGTCCTTTAACAGGCTCCATTGCTTCTTGCTCTCTGCAGGCTGTTAATGTTCAACCTCACCAGTAAATTTATTCTACTAGTGTTACTATTGTTGTCATTTCTAACAGCCTAAATATGTTCACATCACCACAGACTCTCACCTTGGTCATTGCACCTATGCTTCTTTATCACCTCAGCGACCACAGACATTTTTGCATATATAAATAGAGACTCAAAACTACAATCTGATCTAGCCTTGATAAACCTCACTGCCTGTGGTCTTTCTAGCTGCATGTTTCAGGTTTTTGCTACAATGTTTTTCTAATAATTACCATATGGGCCGAAATAATTAATTAGATTAATCATTAGTGTTGCGCCGATGCTATTTTTTGGCCCAGATACCTTCCTGTGCAGCATCGGCTGATACTGAAACCATACTAATACCATCTGTTTGAAATTGATGTGTGTGTGAAGAAGTGCATACTAGTTGGATGTAAAATAATAATAATTGCCATCATGGCTTTGTCAAGCTGCTGCCTGCCTTTGTGAAGCAGGAAAAAGACTAATAAAAAGTGAATCCAGTAGAACTTTTTATTGCCTACCTGGAATGGGTGACAATAGTTGAATAAACTTTTGGCTCTCAAAATGGTATCGGTGCCCTATTTGTTGGTACTCACTGATACTGATACCACCATTTCAGTGCTGGATTGGGGCCTCTGCCCAATACTGGTATCGGTATCACTTCAACACTATTAATCATGATGACTCGATTATTGAAATAATAATCGATAATATAATAATCAACTAATTT